CTACTATGGGGCCTATGGGTAGGTCTCTAGTTTGAATCCCTTTTAGGGTCCCTTTTATAAGGGTGCCATGCTATATATGATAGAATCCTGGCTATAAGGGCCCTAGATAACGTAGCCCTGTTTTTCTGAGACTTCCAACAATTATTCGGTCAAAGTAAGCCTGGGCTTTAGCATCAAGGTTCCGGCACGGAGTCCAGTGCCCCACGTCTCTCCCCCTGTTGCCTCCGAGCCTTCTTTAAAAGACCGGCAGCAGGAAGAAATTATCCTGACGGAGGTAAACCTCCACCATTCAAGGCTTCACGTCACAGCCCCGGTTAATGCTTAAACGCTCGTTGCAGATTCATATCTCAGCCCCCAGTTCATCCCTCCGTACCTAAGCCGGTTTAGGGTTTAGGGTTTAGGGGACTCGACACATGAGCCCGACATTAATGCCGATGCCTCGAGAGCGCGGGACGACTTTGACCCTGCACACACGCCAAGCGATCGAGTGCTACCCTGACTGAGCTGAAGAGTTTAAGCCTGTGTTTGCTTTGGTACGCCGGCTTTGGAGCTCGGGGTTTTAGGGTTTAGCCCTTTTGCAAGCGTTGCTTTCTTATGGCTTAGAGGGCTTAGGCTGGGCTTCTTCCCTCGATCTCGGGTTCGGCGCTTTGGCTCTTGGAGGCTCCGGCCTAATTGGGATCGTTGCTTTTTTCCGATGAGGCCCCCACTAGACCCTACTTTCTTAGACCCTAAACCCTACTTTCTTGGACCCTAAACCCCTAAACCCTAAGCCTCCCATGTTCCTCGCCAATATGCTTAGAGCCAACGCGGCGACAGGGGAAAGCCAGCCTCTGGTGAATGGCTAATGCCAGGGCCTTCATAAGCAGAATTGGTTTAGGGTTTGGGGTTTGGGGTTTAGGGTTTGTTGTTTAGGGTTTGGGGTTTGGGGTTTAGGATGGTAGTAGGGTTGTGGGCTCCTTTTTATCTTATATCTTATAATACGGAACCCGAGGGGCTCAGGAGGAATATTGGTAATATATTGCTTTAGGCCTCTCTATTACTTAGGGGTTAAGCTTCTCAATTATAGTAGGATTATATGAGCCCCAAAAGGTTAAAGGTTACCTAAGATTAAGACGCCGGCGGCTGGGGCTTAGAAGCTTCTGCGGGTTCATGCCATACAGGTCGACTCTATAGGGGCCTTACTAATTAGCTGAGTTTAGGGTTGGGGAAAGGGTCTTGGGGTATATCGTAGTAGAATTACCAAGAAGGAGCCCTAAGGAATAGTATTAGTGATTCTTCAGCCGTTGATATTAATCCCTAAACCCTAAACCCTAAACCCTAAACCCAAAGCCCTAAGGTGCCTTCATAGGGCTTTCGAAGAACATGCCATGAGGTCCTCATCCCAACCACCTCTCGAGCCTGCAGGCTCAACGGGCCTCGAAAGCTAGACTCTTTTGAAGGTTTAGGGTTTAGGGTTTAGGGTTTAGGGTTTGGGGTTTAGGGTTTAGGGTTTAGGGTTTAGGGTTTAGGGTTTAGGGTTTAGGGTTTCCCTAAGGGTCCAAAGGACCTAATAATCATATACTTGGGTTGCGGATAGTAGTTTTGTAGGTTAGTATTCAGAAGAGTATGTGATTATTAGGCACTTGGACCCTTAGGGTTTTGGCTTCAGACTTATAAGGGTTTCGGGTTGAGGGTTCAGGGTTTAAAGGTTTAGGGCTCCAACTCGGCATAATTATAAGGGGGCCGGCATCACTTTCCACAGGTTTGGGGACGGAGGGGAGAGGGGGTGGGATAATTCCGTGCCAGGTTCGAAGGGATAGAAGAAGAATCCTGTGCCAGAAGGGCCTATAAAGGAATGTTTAGCGCTAGTGATGCAAAACCCTCTATATTGCAATTCACCTCAGAGGCCAGAATTCCGAAGCATCCGTCGAGTCTACGGTTTCCCAATTATAGGGGCCCTATAATCACTAGGAAAGGATTTCGGTGCGTAAAGTGGCATAATATGGAACTTTGCGGAATAATATGTGCTGTTCTTGAGGCTTCTAGATTATACTGACGCGGCGGGAATCTCGAAAACTGCTAAAGCTCTGAAATCTGCAATCTGAGCCTTCCCTGAGCACATTTCGTGTAAAGACACTCGGATCTTCAGGCAAACAAAAGCATGAACCCCTAAACCCTAAACCCTAGACTCAGACTCTAGTTACGGGGAAACCCGAAGCTCTAAACCCTAAAGCCACCGGTTCCCCGGTCACCCTGTTCTTGTTAAGTATTCAGCTTGCATGAGGCGAAGCAACAAAAAGGAGTATAAGCGTGCTAAACCGAGAACCATTCTAACCCTAAACCCTAAACCCTAAACCCTAGACCCTAAACCCTAAACTCTAATTAAACCTCCAACGCTTTTGTCCGCAGGGCGCTCAGCCCCATGATGCTGGCTCCGTCGCTTGCGAGGTTCTAGTGCTTCTTTGGAAGGCTGTTAAGGGTTTAGGGTTTAGGGTTTAGGGCAATTTAGCATCAATGCAGGATGGATGTACACATGGCTTCAATAAGGTTCATACAGCTACGGCCTAGGTGTATTTAACAACTATAGGGGCCTCAATCACTCGAATTGGGTTCCGGGGTATCTTATACTATACTTTAAAAAAATAAGGAACCCTAAGCATTAATATTGGTCATTTTTTAGGCTTCTATATGTTCTTGTCTTTGCCAAGGCCTTTAGGCACGTAGGTTTAGGGAGCCTGCGGGTCGGGTGTTCAGAGCTTTCAAGTACTTGGGGGTCGGAGTTGCTGAAAGAAGGCCTGGGCTAGAGCCCCGTCATAGAAATAGGAACAATACCTACTAACACAAGTAATCATCATAATCATGATCAACAAGTTCATACTAATAATAACTAACCCTAAACCCCAAACCCTAAACCCGAAACTGCCCATCCAGGCAGAAACCCCTAGAATCCCAGATGCCTGAATACAGCAATGATGAGCTAGTGTACGATGGCTTGGCATGAGCCCACAACCTACCACTTGGGCAACTGGGCTTGAAGGAAGCTTCATCACCTTAGGGGCTAAGTACCTTAGCCCAAAAAAGCTTAACCTTTTGAATTATAGTAGGATTATATAAGCCCCCAAAAGGTTTAAAGGTTCCTTTTGAACTATAGTAGGATCATATAAGCCGCCAAAAGGTTAAAAGTTACCTACTCAGCCCCTGAGTCACTTCTTCGGCTTCCTCGACTTGGCAAACTTGTTCTTCACCGTTCCGAGCCTGATGAGAGCATGGGATCCTGTGGATCTTACCGGGCACCACTCTTCAAAAAGCACCCCGAACCCGAGACCCTGAAGTCCATGGATCCATTTTTCCGACTTCGGTTGGGGGAGGGTGTCGGTGAGTGTGCAGCGCGAGGTCTCGTAGTAAAGAGGGCGTCCTGTAATTATGTGCCGCCGTCAGCAGCACGACGAGACCCAACAATGCGACATCTGCATGCGACAGGAGTGAGCACAAAGGGGGAAGATCAAATCCTACGGACGTGCCATCTCGAGCAGCTCTGGCAACGCTGCATGCATGCCACAAGATCCAACAGGAACCCTGGCAAAGCTCACGGAATATTATTTTCAGCAGCCTTTTCTTGGATCTGAAGGCTTCTTTCAGCTGAGACCTCGGACGAGGGCGTGTTAGTGAAGCGTGCGCGGCTACCATAGTTCTTGTCACAACAATCGGGAATCACTAAAAGGACATGGACGAGGACGACTTCTACCACTTCGACGACCAAGAGGATGACTGCTACTACGACAACTACAGCGCTAATGACAGCGACAACGACTGCCACCACGACCAGGCGAGGTTCAATGTTTATGTATGTTTATGTTTAATTATAGATGCTCATAAAACTGCGGGCTTGGCAACCGTGATGCCAACGTTGTTGCTCCTGGTGTCAGTTTATGCTGCTCTTGCCAGCAACAGCAATCATTGCATAGCAGCATGTTTTGCATGTGAAGGCTGGTGTAATTGCGGAATCGAACCCTTTCGTTGCAGTCCATGTTATCATGCTGACAAGGTTTCTGATGCTGGGGACTGCAGCCATCGCAGCTTGGCCTCCATACATCCATAAAGCCCTGTAATCCTGTGATGAGTGTCATCCAATAAGGGGTTTTAGCATGTAGAACCATGAAGAGTAGGACCCTTATTACACAGACTGAACATGGCCGATAGTTTCCTGAAAGCCTGCATTCTACAGCAGATCAGCTTTGGAGAACGGTAGCTGCTCCAACAAAGCAGGTAAGCTCAAGGTTCTGCGTGGGCTGCTAGGCCATGCTGACTTTGCTGGCATTCATGGATTTTGATTTCGGGCTTAGGGTAGGATTTAGGGTTTAGGGCAGTAAAGCGTCAGTCGTAGGCTGGTGAGGACAGGAGGTCACGACGTGAGCTTGGCCCCTTGAGGGGCTGCACCCATTGAACGTAAACTCAAGCAAAAGCACCATCAACCCTAGAACCCTAAAACCCTAAACCCTAAACTGCTATCTTCCAGCCGGGTGGCAGCTTTGCCTTCTGCTTGCCCGCGGCCGTCTGGCAAGTGCTGAAGGAACCCTAAAGCCAAAAGCCCTGAGGCAAACCATGTACTGCATTGTTTGGATAGTTGTCTAAATTAGGGTCCCTTGTAGGATCCTTCTCATAAGGCTGCCGTACTAAACCCTTAAACCCTAAAGACCTGAAGAGCTAGACCCACAGGACTAAAAGGGTTGGTAAACTGGGGAGCCTGGGTCTAGTCCTGGGAAGGGTTTAGGGTTTAGGATTTCTCCTCCAATCGGCGGAGCTGGTATGGGTGTGGAAGAAAACCTGCGACTCCTACAAACACACTACGTACATGAGAATATCTTCATCCTATGGAGTCCGACAAGAGGCCCAAAGTGGGTGAGCCCCGCATACCCTCGTAGCACTTCCTGTGAAGATAGCTCGAAGTCGATATATAGCTTGAAACCAAAATTTAGGTACGACCTGAGATTATCTATATATCCTTGGTCTTGCATATTGGTAAACGAGGGGTGGTGCATCAGCCAGGCAGTCCTGCAAACATCCGGGGTTTTAGGGTATGGGGCTCAGGGTTTATTCGGGCTTCAGGGCTCCAGGGTTGAAAGTTTAAGGTTTTCAGGGCTTCAGGAAAACCCTAAACCCTAAATTTAAACCCGAACCCCTAAACCCTAAGTTTAAACCCTAAACCCTAAAACCTAAAACCCTAGACATCTAAACTTAGGCTCCCGGAGCTCCAGACCCTCAACCCTACCATCCACAACAAAAAGCAGTAAAACACAGAACCTCGCCGTCGGATCCCCACCAAGTCCCCAGCTCACCAGAGGTCGAAGGGGTTTAGGACTTGAGGGCTTTAGGGTGTTCAGGGATTAGGATATACAGTTTTGGGCTGATGCAGCTAAAAGCCATGAACAATTCATATCACAGATCTCAGGAAAACCCTAAACCCTAAACCTTAGGGTTTAGGGTTTAGGGTTTAGACTCCGGAAAGCCAGAGGTCTTACAAGCCTTCCGGCACCAGAACAGGAAAAAGGTCAGCCCATGTCAACCCTCCCAAGCCCTGCACACCGGGTGATGTGTCTCCTCTCTGGCGCGAACAGCTCGTCTCGGGAAACTGTACTTCCGAATGAGGTATCAAGTTGCGACTTCGAGGGCGAGAGCTGCTTCTGATATAGAGCTTCAGCCTGAACCTCTACACGAGTTTCGAACAGGTGCGTGTGTAGTCTTGCACACATCTGTGTGGATATATATATATATATATGTGTATATGTATATATATATATATATATCTCTCTCTCTCTCTCCTTCTCTCTCTCTCACCCCCATCAGATTATGTATAATAGTGGATGTGTGAAATGCAATTTAAGTATGTACGTATGTATGTATGTGTGCATGTATGTACCACGCAAAAGAGAGCGGTGTGGCTTGTTTGTATGTAAGCGTGGGAGCCTTCTTGTCACTCCATAACAGCCAGCCCCATCCGCTTTGGTAGAGTTCCTGTTTTAGAAAGCTAGCACAAGCTACATAACATGTATTGCAAGGTACCTGGTACATTTCATGGATATTAGCCCCTGGCTAATTCGTGAAGTTAAAGAGAGCTTTACATTGCTATAATGGTAGCTTAGATTAAGTTCCTCCGATACCGTATAAAGCCCGTCTAGAAGTCTCATGCCGTCTCATGCCTTCCGGCCCGAATTTACAGCCCCATATACTCAGACTAGATTTGGCGAAGGCGAACACCATACCACACCGCAAGCTGGAGCTGAAAACCTAAATTTGCAGGCTCTCACCTCATAGGGAACATACCACACGTCTTGCTATGACGGCTCAGGGTTTCCGGACCCTCTAACCACATGCATGTACCTCGAACATGTAATACTGGGCTCTCTGGGTACTTGCAGCACTCTCCCATGCCGCAGAGGGACCTCAAGTCGAACTGATGCAGAGGTTGCGGCCAAAAAGCCCAGCCGAATGAGAGCTTTCAGAAAAAAATAAGAGACCAGTCTATTAAACCCTTTCCGGCCCCAACCAGCAGGATCGGCAACATAAGGACCCCTCCCAAAACATCCGGGACTCTTGACCCTTGAAACACCTTCAAACGCCCTCCACTTTACACATGTAAGGTGTTGGGGTATCTTGTGGGGGTGGCTATCTTGCACCACACCTGCACAGGAACTGCAATATAAAGGGACTATCATTACTAGCTATTCAGAAATTCAGACCGCTGTACTATCGGCAGGGATAACGGGTTCGTGGTTCGTTTTGGGGTTCCAGGTTTCGTGTGGAGGGTTAGTTTAAGGCTTCGGGGATTTAGGGGCTTCGGGGCTTTAAGAAGGGCTGGAGAAGCATTATTTGTGATGGGTTTAGGGTTTAGGGTTTAGGGTGCTACTGTACAGACAAGGCTTGCAGGGCTTGGCTGGCCCGTCTTTGTACGCTGTGCGTGGAAAGACACCTTAAAGTGTTATGGTCTCAAGCTCCAAAGTTCATCAACAGGGAGTTTTACGGCCGGGGAACTTTAGGGTGTAAGTCTACATGCCCCGCACCCACAGATGAAAGCCGTTCCATGGGAAAGGAATATGTTGTTGGAACATGAGTAACTATCTCTGTACCCTTACTATCTTTAATTCATATTTTACCCCAAGGTCCAACACCCCAAAACCCTGCAGCCAAAATTCTTCAAGCCTAAACCATAAGAACCCCAAATTCTTCAAGCCTAAACCCTAAACCCTAAACGTACCCTAAACACCTCAGATCCTTAGACGGAAATGCTTAAACCCTGAAATCCGGATCCCTGGGACGCTAACCCCGAAATCCTAAACCCTACACCCGAAAAGCACCAGCCTCAGAACCTTACAGTAATACTTACGAAAGGGTTGTAGGATATATATATATATATATATATATTTTTATTATTTGTTTATTTATTTTTATATTTATACTTATATTTATATTCGAGGGGACTTCTCAATATCAGGTGTATTTGAGGGGCCTTTATGTGAAAGATCAGGACATGCACGGTGTGGAGTACATATCTTTATTTGCTGAAACTCCTTCGTTTAAAAAATACAAAGCATAATGGCACATCGCTATCGTAGATTATTCCCAGGCTCTTAGGATCAACACATTTTCTTCCTGACCCAGTTAACAAAGCTACTTCTCGTCGTCCAAAGTCACATAACACATATATCCCCAAACCCTATAAACTATAAACCCTATATTTTAGGGCCTAAGTACCCTAGCCCAAAAAAGGTTAACCTTTCCAACTATAGTAGGATTATATGAGCCCCAAAAAGTTAAAGGTTACCTACTCAGCCCCTAAGAAACCATCCTCATCCCTGAACCGTTAACCTGCTCGGTTTCGGTGGGCACTGGCCCATCAAGGCGCATGAACGCTACCATCTTTCAGATCACCAAAAGGGATGCCGACTCTTCGGGTTGGGGTGGTGTAACAGGTAGGGTTTAGGGTTTAGGGTTTAGGGTTTAGGGTTTAGGGTTTAGGGTGTAGGGCTTAGGTGTTTGGGGGTTGGTGTTTAGGGTATCTCAACTACACAGTCTCTGACCAGGTCAGAAGTACCTGAAGCAAAAGGAAGCCCTTATTGTTTACATGTAGTGTAGCATTCATTCAAAACCCTCTGAGCCTCTGCTTTCTAGCCCACATTTTCGGAGGTTGCAAGGTGTTCATCCCATGCAATCGGGCCGGCTTCAGGTAACTCGTATGCCAGGCCTTCCCTGCTAATGGCTACTGTGGAAAGAGACTTTGAGTGATGAGCCTCCTTTTAAATACTATTGGTTCAGGATTAACCCTAAACCCTAAACCCTGAACCCTAAAACCCCCTAAACCCAGAACCCTAAACCCTAAACCCGTGTTGTCTGAGACTCCCCCCTTCTGCCTTGAACCTGAAGCTACGAAGGCAAGCCCTACCTGAAACTTCCAACACCTGCGTTGCTAGAACATCGCCGGTTGAATCCTGACAAGGCTCGGTTTTTGCAGGGTTTCAGGCACACCCTGCAGATGTGTGATCCGCAAAGACGGGAGGGCTGGTGCGTTATCTTCGACCTGACCGGTCGAAATCTCAAGCTCCTGGCAAGACCGTCCGGGCTGCGGGTTTAGGGTTTAGGGTTTTAGGGGTTTAGGGTTTTAGGGTTTAGGGTTTTAGGATTTAGGGGTTCAGGGTTTAGGGGTTTAGGGTTTTGGGGTTTTGGGTTTGGGGGTTTAGGATTTTAGGGGTTTCGGGGTTTCGGGTTTAGGGGTTTAGAAGTTTAGGGTTTAGGGGTTTAGAAGTGTAGGGTTTAGGGGTTTAGGGTTTAGGGGTTTGGGGGTTTGGGGTTTGGGGTTTGGGGCTAAGGGTTTGGAGTCAAAGTATGGAAGATCTTCAAGCCAGGTGTCAGACTTTCTACAAGCAGCTGACTTGAAGGTCAGCCAACATACATAGCCGGCGGCTTTGAAGATGACCACGGGCAGCCGTTTCTTACCCAAGTGTGTAATCGAAGACCGTCCGTACACCATGAACATCGAAGACAGGGTTTAGGGTTTAGGAGTTCAGGGGCTTAGGGTTAAGGCTAATCCACAACGTGACGACCAATGCCACGCAGAGGAGGCGGTGGCCACAGGAATCCCACCCTAAACCCTAAAACCCTAAAACCCTCAAACCCCAAAACCCTAAAACCCTAAAACCCTAAAACCCTGAAACCCTCAAACCCTA